CTGTGATTGGACAGCCATTGAAATTCTGGGCTGGGGAAGAAGGCCAGGGCTTGCAAAGGCTACAGACAAGTGACCTGAACTTTTGCAAGCTGTTTTTATATATATCCAAATTAAAACAAATGCATAATTAAATGCATGCATGTTTTATTGGTGGTATATCTAATATTTTGGGCAATGGAGTGTCACTTTAAGGTCTTTGCCTTTGAGTTCCTAAATTGTTTTTCAAACCACATTGCACTCAGATATTTGGGTTCTTTGCATTGGAAGGCCAATTAATAGCTGAAACATACTTAAAGGGACACTGTAGGCCCTATAACGATTTCATCTCACTAATTGGTTATAGGGTCTGGAGTCACCTGGCACTGTCTCTCCATTCAGTGTTAAACCATTTTAAAAAGAGTAACACTGAATGAGGGTCCCTGGATTACCCTAGTCCCACACCTATGGTACAGATATGGCAAGGTTACACACCTCGTTCTTGCCATACCGATTCATACCTAAATGGGCACTGTGATGGCTTGAAAGTGGTAATTTGCCACTCTAAGCCGCCCATTACTTCCCAGGCAAATACCTCCTCATTAGCTTGAGTAATACAAGGGGATGAGCTGCTGTGATGTCTTGTATATCCTTAAAGCTCATTAAAGTGGCCTGGATGCACTTTTTCTATCCCCTTAACCATGCAATGGTAATTATTGAAGTTTCAGAAACAAGTGCAATAATTACCTTGGAGTATTAAGACTGCCTCTAGTGGCACCGAAGTTGCTGTTTAGTGGATAAGGGAGTGCTTGCTTTTTTTTTTTTTAATCTTATAAATTGGCTCCCAGCAGCAGCCTATTTATGCATGTTAAGGTGAGTGCAGCCAGCCCCCTGTTTTCATATATATATATATATATATATATATATATATATATAGGCATAGGCAACCTTTGGCACTCCAGCTGTTTGGATTACACCTCCCATGATGTTTTGCCAATATTATGGGTGTAAGAGCATTATGGGGGATGTAGTTCACAACATCGGTAGTGCCGAAGGTTGCCTATGCTATATATATATATATTTGGGAGTCTAGCCAACTCCTTGGTTTTGCACCCCTCCCTGTCACAGGTGCCTCATCCCAGGGCCCTATTTATCCTTGTACTGCAGAGAACTCCAAATGGAATTAGTTAATTAGATAAATAGCTCTTGAAGCAGACATTAGGCTGTTAGAGTAGGACCTGCTAAAGATTGGGTACATTGACATTGTGGCAGGCTTATGCAATGTATGATCATATAATGTAACTAAACCCCCATTATTTTTTGCCTAGATTAGGTGTTTTTAAAGAACAAAATCTGTCAACACCAAAGTAGCTGTTTAGTGGCTAAGGGAGTGCACTGGTTTTTCTTTTTTATTGAAAGTGTGTGTCTGTCATTTAGAGTTTGCATCAGTGTGTGTGTGTTAGTGAGTGCTGTCAAACCTTGTTTGTGTGTGCACTGTTCTGTATTTCAATATGATATTGAGCCTGACTCCCGAATTCAAATCAGATGTGTCAAGCCCTGCTTCGAAGTTGCCTAAATGCCACTAATATGTGTCCTATATTGTCCTTCATTCTTCTCACCTTCCTCTTTCAGGACAAGGTCTCTTTTTGAAGACTTGGATTATTTATATATGGAGTTGAATGCTCTTAAAGAGAATCTCAGTGAGCTAACAACCAAATGTGAAGTGTCATGCCAAAAGCATGAGTTGGTGTTTGATGTGTGTTTATATATGTTAAGAGTTGTTTTTTTGTAAACCTTGGGATGACATTTATTGTGGTCTTTGATCTTGCACCAGGCCTAGACCATAAAACATCTAGATAGCCATCACCAGAGCTGGACACAAGGAATTTCGAGTGGGCAGTAGACTGGCAGACCAGCCCCCTCTGATCTCCCCCCAGGGGTCTGCCCACTGAGAAACAACTAGTTTAGATATATGAGGGTGTTGGACTATCCAGGGTAGTCAGTTATTCATTTTTCTTTTGTCAATAACTTCTAGGAGACCTAT